CGTGAATGGGTTAATTTACCCAATATATGGAGCTCCACCTAGGCTAATTCGTCGTTTTAATTCCTTTCCACCGTTGAACACAAGGCGGCCGTCCCGCAATTAGGTGGAGATAGTTGGGGCTCGGGGGGTTTAGTTTGTCGAAAGTGAGTAATATCCATTCTCACACTCGTATACAAATGTAGAATTACCCACACGAATATAAACCTCCGTGAAGAAAAACTCTCGTGTGCCTCGGCAACTTTACACGTATGTATTTATCCCCTTCTGGAGTTAAACTATAACATTATATTTTGACATTACCTACTGAAATTCGTCCAGGGAGGATGAAAGTGTCTTACAATAACAATAAAATATGGTATATATATATTCGATTTTGACATAAACGTCATGTAAATAACTTTTCATGTTTGCGCACAGCTAAGATTTTACATCTTAATGTTCATTGGAATCCAAACAAACGAAAAAACGCATTATAGTAAAATAGTAAATATAGTAAAAGTAAAGAGAAATGTGTGTAATTTTATAGTTAATTAGATAATAAATTTTCATGGAAGGAAAGATTCAGAAAATGAATTGAGATATTCACAATTTTTCTTTCTTTTCCTTAAACTGAAATTTTCGAGAAATTGACCTCAGGGACTGTATGATAGAACTACTTGAGGGATATGAACAGAAAATTAGCTGAAACGTCTCCAATCTTTTCTCCATTGTATAATAAAATTTCCCGTATCGCTATTCGAGAACAGTTCTTATTCGTTTTGAATTTTGATGGTATCAGTTGAAAGCTTATAATTTCTTTTCGAATGCCGCTCACGATATTTTTGACAAATTATAGAAACTCGACTTTTTAAAACTTGCGTCAACCTTCTATCAATGTTGATGCTGATTTTTTCATTGCAAAGTATGCAACAGCGTAGGACAATAGTGGTACAAAAGATACATATGTAGGAAAAAAAAAAGTTCTTTGAGGAGGGTAGTGCCTTCCATCAGGGAATATCCATAGATTTAGTACCGAAAGATGTGGAATACTAAAAATGAACAAAATATCGAAATTTGGAGAAAATCGATAAAATAGTTTTGTAATAATTAGTATTTAAAAGAATTACAACACTTTACTCCCCCCCCCCAATTTTACCTTATCTCCTCCACTTTGACGGACGGTCCCTATGACCTCAACTTCCAAACTTTCTCTATACAGATCGTTTACAAATAGTTGCAATTAATGTGAGTGTGTGTGGTTTGCGCATATGGATATATATGCATTTGTATATATATGTATTTGTGTGTGTGTGTGTGTGTGTGTGTGTGTGTGTGTGTGTGTGTGTGTGTGTGTGTGTGGTGTGGTGTGGTGTGGTGTGGTGTGGTGTGGTGTGGTGTGATGTGATGTGATGTGTGTGCGTGTGCATGTTTTTGTGTGCATGTTTTTGTTTGTGTGCATATGTGCATTTGATTGTGTATACATGTGTCGGTTCGTGTGTATGTGTGTTTGTGTTTTGTGTGTGAATGTGTTTAAGTGTGCGCATGTGTTTAAGTGTGCGTTTTTGCATGTGTTTGTGTTCGGTTGTGCACGTGTTTGCGTGTGTGTGTGCATGTGTTTATGTGTGCGTTTTTGCATGTGTTTGTGTTCGTTTGTGCACGTGTTTGTGTGTGCGTGTTTGAGTGTGTGCATGCGTTTGTGTGTGTGCATGTGTTTGCGTATTTATGTGCTTATATGTGCATGTGTTTGCGTATGCATGTGTTTGTGTGTGCATATGTTGGTGCGCATGTGTTTGTGTGTGTGCCTGTGTTTGTGTGTACATGTGTTTGCGTATGCATGTTTGTGTGTGCATATGTTTGATTGTGTGCATGTGTTTGTGCATGTGCCTGTGTTTGTGTGTGTCCCTGTGTTTGTGTGTGTCCCTGTGTTTGTGTGTGCATGTGTTTATGTGTGCATGTGTTTGAGTATGTGCATGTGTTTGTGTGTGTGCTTGTGTTTGTGTGTGTGCTTGTGTTTGTGTGTGTGCCTGTGTTTGTGTGTGTGCCTGTGTTTGTGTGTGCATGTGTTTGTGTATGCATATGGTTGTGTGTGTACAAGTGTTTGTGTGTGGATGTGCTTGTGTGCGTGCATGTGCTTGTGTGCGTGCATGTTTTTGTGTGGTGCATATGTTTGTGTGTGCGCATGCTCAGAGTAATGTGCAGCGATGGTGTGTTAAGTGCTTTGCATGCATTCTCGCTTGCAGCTGCCACCGCTGGATAGCCTGCAGTGCGAAAAGGGAGCAGCTGTGCATAAGTTTCCCCTGCCAGCTCATAGCCTCTCCATCATCAAGACTTCTGCAGTGCTTCCTCGTGGCTACCCATGGCTGAACTGTGGAAGTTCTTGGAGCAGCAGGAGGCCCTAAAGGTACGGAGTCAAGGCTCATCGGCATGTGGACACGCCCTGGCTTCGTACTAACTTCTGACCCCTGGTGTGATGGGTGACTGTGGGGAGGCAGGCCATGCCAACCTGTCTCCCCAAGAGAATCTACCGGCAATGAACCGTATTAGAGATGATGCTGAGAGAAGGGCAAACTTCCCTCCCACCCAGCAAGTAAGGCAGGCTGCGGGTTCCTCTGGGTTGGCGACCGCTGGAAGTCGGTCTGAGAATTGGGGTTAACCGTCACGTCTGCGTCCCGGCAGCAGCCAACTTGGCGTGAGGTTTGTGGGGCAAAGCCTTTGAGACCCCACAGGTGGATTATGGGACGTGCAGCCAGCCAGCCCTCAGGGTGGCAGAGGTGGCGTCCACCCGGAGTTACTGCCCGAGGTTAGACCTCAGGCGGGTTGTCAGGGTGGGAGCTTGGAATGTCCAGTCGACAGGACAATCGATTACCTACTGTCGAGGGAGCTGGAGCAGCTGTGAGTTCAGGTGGCTTCTCTCGTGGAGGTGAGGAGACCTGGTAGCGGCACTATTAGTGTGGGTGGCTACACCTATTATGGGCTGCAGCGATAGTCACCATCTCCAGGGAGTAGCCATAGCCATCTCCAGCAGACTTCAGCCCACGGCAATGGAGGTCACTCCAGTCGATGAGTGTATAATGGTATTGAGACTGAAGCTTATATTTAGATTCATGTCTCTTGTTACTGTGTATGTTCCTACGGATGTTTAAAACTTGGTGTGAAAGAGATGAATTATGGCAAACTTCCATCTATGACAAATAACTGTCCTTGGCGAGATATTTGTATTGTTCTGGGTGACTTCAATGCCATATATGGCTGCAATCGAGCTGGCTATGAGATGTCTGTTGGTCCTCATGTCTTGGGAGGTGATGCTGGTAGCGAGAATAGCCTCCATTTCTGGGACTTTGCTAGGTCCCAAAAATTGAGGATTTCTGGCTCTTGATATCAGTGCTCTGAGCAGCATAGTTGGACTTGGTACAACAGTGCAGGTAATAAGACCAAGATCGACCACATTCTTGTTAGCACTGACTGGAAGATCCTCCAGAATTGCAGGGTATATCGGAGTGTCAGCCTTTGTGGAACTGATCATAGATTAATTGTGGCTATTCTCCGAGTCCATGTCTAAACTCCCCATCATTCCAGTGATTACCCTAGGTGTTTCATGTGGACAGGCTGAGGGAGGGGGAGTGTGCCTAGTGGTTTGCTGAAGCTATCTGTGATCGTTTCGAAGCACTCGCGGGCCTGATGGACCCTGTTAGCAGTGGGACACCTTCAAGTATGAAATGCTTGATGCAGCTCAAGAATCGACAGGCAAATGCCCAAGAGGTAGACAGAATTTCATCTCACAGGAGACACTGGGAAAAACAGATGTTTGTCACATGACTTGACTGACAGGGGATCATGACTTGCAGGTCACTACTGAGAAGGAACAAGGAACAGTTTTTCAGGAACCTTGCAAAGGTCGAAAGCCACTTCCTAGTAAATGACCTTCAATCTGCCAACCAAGCCCTGAGAAAGCTGAACTCCAAGCCCTCCTCACAGACGACTACAGTCTCCTCAGCAAGTGGCCAGATTATCTCATATCCTGTTGGGGTGCAGGAGTGTTGGGCTGTGTATTTAGAGCAGTTGTACCAGGTTAATCCACCAATAACAGACTTGGATGCGGGTAGTGTTGAGATTCCTTTGCCGGTCCCACACTCTCTGACTCAAGTCAGGGAGAGTAATTAATGATTTAATTATTGAAAATTTTCTGCCATGTCAGCATCTAAGGTCAATTAGAGGCTCAGGGGGTAATCTCCAAGTCGAAGAGTGGTAAAGCATGGTGAATCTGCAGCATCCCAGCTGAACTGTTAAAAGCCGGTGGAGAACCTATGGCAAGGGGCTTGCATGCTGTCCTATTTGCCACCTGGCAGAGTGGTACTATTCCCCCTGACCTGATGAGGAGTGTGGCCATCCCTCTCTAGAAAGGGAAAGGGGATTGGTGGGACTGCAGCAATCACTAAGGCATTACGCTGCTCAGTATACCAAGTAAGATTCTTGCTCACATCCTTCTGAGACATATCAGAGACCTTCTGCTGAGGTACCAGAGGCCAGAGCGATCTGGACTCACTCCTGGTAAGTCCACAATATCCTGGCACTTCGAATCATTGTAGAGCACCGACGCTAGTTTGGGCTGCTTGGAGCTTGCATCAACCTCAAGAAGGCATTCAATACAGTGCATCACGAATCCCTTTGGAAGATCCTGAAGTTAAGAATTCTAACAAGGATTATTGGATTAATAGCAAGCCTATATACTGGTACTGAAAGTGCTGTAAAGTGTGGTAGGGGCCTGTCGAGCTTCTTCCCTGTTCAGGAGTGGGGCAAGGTTGTGTTCTTGCACCAACACTTGCATGGAGCTACTGTCCAAATTCCCTGTGGAGCAACTCTGGGCAATATCAAGGTTACTAACCTTAACTTTGCTGACGATCTTACTATTCTATTTGAGTCTCTGTAAACACTAGTGGTGGCTCTTGATGCATTTAGCAATGAAGTAAAGCCGCTGAGGCTAGAGGTCTCCTGAACCAAGACCAAAATGCAAGACTTTGGGG